AGAAGTATATCCACAGCCCTGCTGGATATATACTGCTAGGGCAAAGATGGGAAAGGAACAACATAATCCTTTTTTTCCCTATTCCAGTTACTTAATATTTCCCTTTCCTGTTGGAACCGATGAAAGGAAAATGTAGGTGTGTTTGCAGACAGGGTGAGCTTCCAAAATGTTCCCCAGCCTGCCTTTTTTTTTTTTTTGGTGCATTCAAGTCATTATTGACTCCTGGTGACTGCCTGGACAAGTCCCTGCAGTTTTCTTGGCAACATTTTTGGAAGTGATTTGCCATTCCTTCTTCCCAGGGCTGAGAGAGAGGGACTGGCCCAACATCACCCAACTGACGTTGTGTCTAAGGTAGGACTAGAATTCATAGTCTCACAGCTTTTAGCCTGATGCTTTAACCACTACACCAAACTAGCTCTCTTTTTTCTTATACGTCTGCAGTATCAAAGCTCTGCCATTGGAGAGGTGAGGGCCATTGAAGCTTTCAATCAGGCTTCAATCTCTAATTGCTGTGTGCTAAGATTGGTATAAATCTTTGAAGAAGACCAAAATAGATCCCAAAAGACCAACTGCCATAACATGGTGAATTGTTGTCTCACCTGCCATAGATAATGGGAGATGTAGTCCAGCAACATCTGGGGGACCATAGATCCCTCACCATTAGGGTAAATGGTAATGGAATGGCACTTCTGCCAGAGCTATATAAATACAAGGAAAGGAAAAACACTGGCTTCCATCCTGACAGTTGGTTTCTGCTAGGACCCACTGAAATAATTGTGAGTAGTCATGGCTGACCTCTCACTAATCTCAGTGGGAACTAAGTAGAATTTTATCTGGCTCCAACCCATTTGTGTACCCCCCAGAGGATACAGCATAATGTTAGAGTTTAAAATTGTCCTTTGCCACTGGAGGTGGGTCACCAAACAAGCCTTCCATTTTTTCCATTTCTTTTTATAAAACTGAAATAGACACTTACAGAAGTTGTTAGGTGGGAAAAGGCATTTTACTCTTCTAGTTCCTTTGTTTCTACAACAAGCCTTCTACACATGTTGAAAGCAGACCAGTGCAATGGAGCTTGCCCCTGCCACCCAGTTCTCTATCCAAAAATGGAACAGCCTATAAACACTGTATCCCAGGAGTTTAATCTGTGCAGGCTGCAAACTTAAACACAGCAACAACTATTCAAACATATTAAGCAATAAAATACTTCTTAATATTCCCATGTACTTCAACCCATAGAATGGTTTGTATCAGGATACAAGACTACTAGGGCATAGACTCTCCATCAGATTCATTTGAAATGGGAAGGACTGTGCTCTCACAAGTCCTTTCACAGGTTTCCCTCTCTCAAGAAACCAAAAAAAAAAAAAAAAATCCCATTATTTGATTTATATGACTATCTCACATACATGACCCTGGGCAGTGCACAACTTTAAAATAATAATACGTAAAATTGCTAAAATAAACCCCAAATAAAACACACAGCTGCCAGAGAATCATAAAAAGCTCTCAACACAGCTGGGACTGTGAACCAAGTCACAAGAGGGCAGTAAATGTCTTCCTCTGCAGCACTTTCAACCAAAACTACTAGATATGATGGCATGTCTGATACTGCTAATGCCCAGACTGCATTTTTGTAGCATTTCCATGCTTTCCATTTACTATTCGCATCATGAACAGTTGTGTTCGGATGACATCAGATCTTGTCAGTCAGTAGATCCAGAGGGCATTATTTATGCCTTTGTGTCAGCAGAGCACAGTCTCAGATGCACAGATCAAATATGGAACAAAGACCTCCAACCGGCCACAAAAGGAAGTGGGGGACTGTCACTATCTACTTCTTGAAAAATGTGCATTTGTTTTGACAATTAAAAATGCATGAAGACCCAATAAAGGTTGTTTCCTGGGCGGATGGGCAGTTTTAAATCAACATGCTAGATCAACCAACAGCATTTTTATTTTCTAGGGGGCATTCTGGTAGGTAAAGGGACCTGAAGGCACCTCTATTACATCAACCTGCCCCACCTGGTCAGGCAGAGAGGGCATGCTGCGGACCCTGTCAGCAAGAGAATGTCAGCTGGCAGGGCCCAGGAGGAGAGCCTTCTCTGCCGTTGCCCCGCCCTGTGGAATATTCTCCCCCCAGAGGTGCGGTGGGCTCCTACCCTCCCAGCTTTCTGGAAAGGATTAAAGACCTGGCTCTGCCAGCTTGCATGGGGCGATAGGAGTTCTAATCGTCCCTGACAATGCTCCCTGAGTTATTTGCCAATTCTCCATTGTTCTTGGAATTTATTTATTAAGATTGTTTTTATATTATTTATGCCTTTGTGTCAGCAGAGCACAGTCTCAGATGCACAGATCAAATATGGAACAAAGACCTCCAACTGGCCACAAAATACAATTTATATTGTATTTTAATTGATTTTATCTCTGCTATAAACCGCCCAGAGTCGTTTCAACAAGATGGGTGGTGACAAATTGAATGAATGAATGAATGAATGAATGAATGAATGAATGAATGAATGGCTTCACTTTGCTCAATGTTACATGGGCAAGGGAATCTGGTAGGCAACAAAGGCACAAAGAAGTCCATGAGCACTAGTTACTTAACTGTATCTGAAAAATCCTGAGTTGAATTCAACTCCTAGTCACTACCTGGATATTAGGTCTGTGCACACTTTGAGAATGATTCTAGTACTTATAGAGCAAGCACAACATGCAAATAAACCAAGAAGTGCAAAGTAAAATCCAGTTTCTTTCAAAGCAAGTTCCCTCAGGAGGCTCAAACTTCATTTGCAAGGATAAGAACTATGCAACTTCTGAGTTTATGAATGCTTTGAAATGGAGTCATCTAGAAAGTCTAACTGGCTGTGCTCAGACAACAAAACCAGATCAAGAGCCAGGAAAGAGCTGGCATGATATACAAACACCCAAACCTAGTCAGCATCCAGGTTAGAAAGGATTGGGTTTACTCCAAAACAGCTCAGAGATTAGTTGTGGTTAAACTAACCTACCTCTGTTAGCTATGTCATGTGAACTGGGACAGCAGTAGTTAAACAAGGACTACCTGTAGCCAGGTATGCTAGAGAGGCTAAGAAACCAGGTAGGCCAAGAGATTTTGTTCTCTGAAGTGAAAAATCAGTCCAGAGTTCTCACTTGAGGCATACATTGTCCTACTTTGGACTCATTATACAAAGACCTAACTCTCTGGAGAAGGCTCTAATGCTGGGAAAAGTGGAAAGAAAGAGAAGAGGATGATCAGCAGCAAGGTGGATGGACTCAGTTACAGTGGCAATGGGTACACCGTTGGAAG